TAATTAACAATTAGTGTGTAACCCGTCAAAATTATGACAATATTTTTCTGAAAGAATTTAGGCAAGCATCCTTAGTTCTAATTCAACAGCCATCACAAAAACAAAATCCCATATATGGACACATCCTCACCTATGCGAATGCGAACATCTCGAAGAAGATCATACTAATAATCTTTGTTCCTTGTCTTACAGAATCAAAAAAGCAGGAAACATTATCACTGAACATACCATCAAATTACAGTCAAATTCTGAACTATTAACAGATTCTATTGTACCTGTGTAGCTCTTAGATAGGTTCAAGGTGACTAGTCATATCTTATATTTTAAATGTAATATAGATAATCCATATAGTATCACATATCTTCTGATTCTTTGTAATTTAGATAGCTGTATACAATAGATAAGACTACACTGTAACAATAGAAAATAATAATAATAACAATACTTTTTTTTAAAAAAACTCTTTTTCGCATCTTAACCACATAGATCCCTTGACTATGGGCTAAGCCACAATACAAGTTCGAAAAAGTTCTTTTACTTCCAAGCTAAAGCTTTATTTTGTTTATTTTCAATAAGCAAAAATATTCTATAATTGTCTACCTATTCATCAATACCAATATTATATATATATCTATAGAACTTACACTTTTATTTTTATCTTATTACTTTAAAAATACATAAAAACAAAAAAAACACATATAATACTACAAATTCAAAAATACAATCAATAATAACTTTCAAATAATTCAAAATGGCTTCTTCTGAAGAGCCAAGTTCCTTCCTTGGCAGTATAGTCAAAAAACTATCTTTAACTCCACCACAAAAATCCACAAGAAAAAAATACTCTTCTACCGATAATGATTTCACTGAAATCCCAGAAATTAATCCAGCCAATAGAAAATCAAAAAAATCATGTTTTACACCATATAATAACATCACCCATCCTACCACTCGCAGTATGACCAAAAAAGAACAGATTCCAGAACAAAATGCAGTTTCCATGAAAGAAGAATATAATAATGACACATCCTCATCCTTTAGTGATACATTCAATGCAAATAATAAAACACCAATTACTAAAACAGGCTTTCATCAGCTGATAATCACAAAAATATAACTGATAATAATGTTATACAATCTGACTTGGAAATATTATATGAGTCTTATGCAGAAATACAATCAGAGTCAGATAATGAAGTCACCTCAAAAATGTATACATTAAATTCCAATATCCAAAATGTTCCAGCCAATAATGCAAAAGATAAAGACAAAGCAACAGAAGAAGAATGGCAAACAATCAACAGCAAAGCTAGATTTAGAGGATGGATCGATGAACAAAATCTTCCAGAAGGATCAACAATCAACAAAATTAAAGATGTTAACAATATCATTACAATGTAAGAGGATATATCAATACAAAAGCAATACTAATTAACAAAACCAAATACATATGCATTGAGTTCAACTCCAAAGAAAGTCTAAAAATAGGTGGTGACATCAGCATCAACGACAAATATCTTTCTATCACCAAGCCAGTACCTGCTCAATCCTTCAACACAAAATGCATCATAGCTCTTCGGAATGTTTCATTTGGTACTAGCAAAAGCCAGATTCAAACTGCGCTTAGTCATTATGGAGAAATTAAAGACATTCGCATGCTTATCAGAAACAAATAAGAATACACTACTATATGCTTTACAATAGAAACTGCAGCAGAAATAGCAATTGAAGACTGGCCCATTCTCATTGGCAATGACAGAATTCGCATCTTGCTATTAGTTAACCAACAAAAAATCATTGAAATATGTAATCACTACAAAGCCAAATTAGTAAATCTTCCATGAGGAACAACAATCTATAAACTAGATGATATTATTGCGCAAATTAAAGCAAAATCATGCTTCATTTCTAGATCACCTGTTAAGTACCAATGATAGTATTTCGCATGGATCACCTTTAAATCAGAATCTGACTTAGCAGGAGCAATGATGCAAAAGTTCATGCTATGGAACAACAAAATTTGGTGGGAAATTCCAACCATTACAATCTGCAACCTATGTTTTAAAAAGGGTCATTTAGCACGTTCTTGTAGTGTTCCTATGAACTGAACTGAACTGGACTTTTGTCCGGATTCGAGTTCGGTTCGAAATTCGAATCGAACTCAAACCAGACTTTGGCTTGAGTTCAAGAAAGGTTCGAAGTTTGAATCAAACTGTTATACGAGTTCGAGTCTGGTTCGAGTTCGATTAAAGATTGACATATAGTATCATATACCAATTTGTAGCTTTAAATATAAGCTACAACTTTACATATAAGCATAATTTATAGTATTTAGTAAGAATTAAAAGTTTACATAGTGATAAC